TCCGTCCGTCCGTCCCGTACCGCGTCGTCGTCCGTCGTCGGTCCGTCCGTCTCCGTCGCGTCCGTCCGTCCGTTCGCGTCCGTCCGTCGCGTCGCGTCCGCGTCCGGTCCGTCGTCGTCCGTCCGTCCGTCCGTCCGCGTCCGTCGTCCGTCGCCGTCCGTCCGTCCGTCCCTCCGTCCCGTCCCGTCCTCCGTCCCGTCCTCGTCCGTCCGTCCCGTCCTCGTCCGTCCCGTCCGTCCGTCGTCGTCCGTGCCGTTTCCTTCCGTCCCGTCCGTCCGTCCGGTCCGTTCCCGTCCGTCCGTCGCGCTCCCGTCCGTCCGTCCGTCTCGTCCGTCCGTGCCGTCGTCGCCGTGTCGTTCGGATGGCTGAGACGCTAAGGCAGTAGTGCACTACCGAATCTCGTACTAAGGATCAGTGTTGCAATAATCGGCGGAATCCGCTGGCCGTTTTCAGCGGATTTTGATTCGTGACGCGCAGAAAAAAAAAATTATGTTAGCGGATAGTGGAATAACGCGGAAATTAATAAAGACGGTGAAATAAGCGGCAATTTCAATCTTCACTATAAGGCCTGACCACATAGGCGTGTTCAACGCAAGAATACATTTTTAAAATAATACAAAAAAGACAGACTATTCGGTTACATAAGTGCAGTCCTTTATTATTTATTATTATTAAATTTATATTGGGAACCGAATACGCCAAAAAAACGCACGGTATGACCAAGGAATAGCTTTGTCCTTATCTACTTCATGCCAGTCATAAGCATTGTCCTTTATATCATTACTTTCTATCGTTTGTTTTAAACAGAAGAAATTAATATAATAGATTTAAATATGAAAAAATAATATTATTTTACGTGTGTAGGATTTAGGGAGGGATTTAAAACCAGTTTCAGCGGATTTGTCGGCGCGGAAACTGAAAAACGAACATCGGAATCTCCTCTAACACATCTGTACACTGCTAGGATCGCGGTCGAGTCCCGCCTTGGCCATCGTTGTAGTGTGTTTGTCTTTCGAGCCCACCTATCATCCATCATCATCCATCATCAGCTCATCATATAGGTGTCATCTCATATTACCTACCGTTACAACGAATAGTGGTCGCCTAACGAACATTGAAGTTGATGCGAATTAAAAATATTAAGTAATAATATATAATAATAATAATATAATAATAATAATAATAATAATAATATAATAATAATAATAATAAACGTTTTCTCGAAACTCTTCGAATAGCAAGAGCAATCAGCGTCTTGAATGACGAAAGTACTGCCACAACATTCTATCAACAAAGACCATCCTTTCGAAGAAGTAATCAAAGAGGTTTCCTCACCGTTTCCTGATTCGAAGTAGTGAGCAAAGAATAGCGGCGAACTAGCCGTCGCAATTGTTCAGAAAAATCTCCTCTCTGCACCAGTTTTGGAAGGCAATGCAGGAAGAATGAGAAACATGCTTAACTTCCCTCAGAAACCTAGTAATCTGAGGGCAGTGGAGATATCAGCTGATGCAAACTCAGGATACAATGACAAGATGTCAGAAAGTATGGTGATAAGAGTGAGAGAAGAGGTGGAATTGCGCAATGATTTGCAGTCCAACTTGCGAATTTGAAGGAACTTGACCCAACTGAAAACGCTATCTGCATTCCCAGACAAAATTGTCGAAGAAATTAACAAGAGCAATAGCGTCTTGAATGAGACAGAACTGCAGCAACATCTACAGACAAAGACCATCTTTCTTTCGAAGAAGTTACACAACAGCAATTTATTGTGCTGCGGTTTGTGGCTTCAAATGTAACGGTTTTCCAAAGCTTTTCAGCCGCGTAGCAACTTCCCCACAATGATGCGAAGTGAAAAAAGAATGCCACCACAATAAACGTTTCTCGAAAACTCTTCCGTTTTGTGTGAAAACTAGCTCAAATCTCCGCCTTTTCAGAAATGCTCAAACGCCATTTTCTTAAAAACCGCTCCAAATTTTTTCTTTAATCTTTTCGTACGGTTCGTAGTGCTTATTACACTGTTTAAGATGACATGAAATTACTTTTGCTGTATTCTTTTGTTTTAAACAAGTACACATGTATTTTTTAAAATCAACTCTCAAGCCCGTTAATATGGACATTTCCTGCGATTTGTATATTTTATTGCATTTGTTAGTGAAGATCTTCAAATGACTTCAAATGAAGTTTTTCCAAAACACAAAAGGCTCCTGTGAAAAAGAGCTTCAAATTTTGCATTTACACTAGAGCTTAAACGATTTTTCTTAAAAAAGGCTCCAAATTCTTCAACGAAAATTTCCATAAAGGACTAGGTTTTACTCTTCTTCAATATTTTAAAAGTTATATTTCGAATCTAACATTAGAATACCGAAAAATTGAGAGAAAACAAGAAAGAAATGAATTCAAGGCGGCGATAGATGGCAGCCGCCAAGAGGACGGGAGCCGAAACTTGGTACGGAACAAGGTATGCCGTTCTGAAGCCCCACTAGTTCTTAATGAAATGCGTTCATCAAAACAGATCCGCAAGTAATGTCAAGTTCAAGGCTTCGAAAAAATGCTTTTTTTGCGAAATTTTGTGAAACAGGTAATTTTTATTTTCTTTCAAACATTTTTCCTTAAAAAAGTCACATTTTTTTTTATTAGATTTGAACTCTAGTTATAGCGTAAAGGACGCTTAAGTGAAAGGTGCATGTCTCGCGTTCGTTGAAATACCTGATTTTTCCAAAATTGAAAAAGCTCAAAATTTTTTCGGCGTCTTCCTACAATTACAATTATGAAGTTACATTTTTTCTTAATGAAATGTGTTCATCAAAAATATCTTCAAACAAGGCAACGTTGAATATTTCGAAAATATGAGTATTTTGTGTGTAATTTGACATCAAACAGTCCCCCGCTTCGAATTTCCTGCGCTTCGTGAATGTAATTTGGAAAATGTTTGGAGACAGTTGGATGCTACGTAAGTAAAAATTTGTATATTAATTTATATTTGTTTGTTTCTTACATTCAAGCTTTTGTTATACATTTACAAATTTATCTTTCAGAACTGATTCAAAACCTATTTGATAATTCATATTTTTTGCACGTGTAGTGAGGAATGTATTAGCTTTCTCAATGTATTGATGTATTTTCTCTCAAGCAATCCGCAAACTGTAATTTAAATTAGCCCTATTAGATTTTCTCTCTTAAAATACGATTTAAAAGTAATAGGAAGAAAATGTCTAGCCTTCAGAGAATGTCAGATTGGAATGCGACAATGGCAAGCGAGATTGGAATGCAACAACAGCATACGAGGCGGCAGCCGTAGTTCTATGAATTCCGTCTAATTTGTAGGACATGATATAGCTGTAGGAAACGCAATTATAATTGTCGCCAACCGACCTGGTTGGTCAGAGGTGGCTAGAGCGTATGTCGACTCAACGCCTCGGTCTCAAGAGTCGCAGGTTCGAGTACCGGCGCAGGCAACGTTGCTTGTCCCTTGTCTTTCCTGTATGTATGTTGTCGCGGATAGCCTTGTAAATCTGCTGCTCACAAATCGAGAAGCCCATATTTAATGTTCTACAATTTAGAATGAGTTTTACAAAAAATAATGAATGATATTTTAAATTCGGAGAGAAATTTCGGTATAAATAGTATTACGTAACCATCACTAAGGACGTGAATGTATGTACTGTTTTAGCACCATTGGTTTTGTAAACAGAATCCTGTGCGTTATTTGGATCGTCTGAATAGCACTAGTAAACAATGCAAGCCCAGATTTTTTCCACAATAAAGTCACTATTTACTTCCCCGATATATCTGAAACATGTTGTACTGTCTTTTTAGTGAACAATAAAACGCTATATTAATTTGAAACTATTGTTGAAACCGATCGATCAACTTCGACGCAATGGAATAGTGTGCCAAGTTAGTGCTTTTGAAGAACGCTGTCGTGTGAGCACGAAAGACTTCAAACTATTCGTGAACAGAGGGAAGCCATTATATGGGGTGCTAAATTTTTTAATGACGTAAAATACTACTAGGTCTAGCCTTCTGTCATGGGACGTAGTACACCTCTCATAATGAAGGTACAGAAGCAGATAATTTCCCAGCTTCGTTATAACACGCACTATGAATTCTATGTCCCCATCGCAACCAAATTTGCGAAGAAATAATTATTAGACACATCTTCATAATAGTTGGCCTTCACACCACAGTACTGAGAAGGAGGCTGAGAAAACTACATTACTTCAGCGATATGCGCTCTGGTAATGACTTGGTACAGGCATGGTTTTCTACTCAGCAATTATTAAGGTAGATTCTGTTGAAAAAACAAATAAATACCACATGAGGGAAGCCACATTATACTCATTGCCCTTGCTTATAAGTACATTTCTCAATTTAACTTTTAATCCTTAACGTGTAAATCCTTTTTAAACTCAAGAGTAATTTGGAATATTGTACGAGCGGAATAATGGACTAGTACGCAGAGAGCCTTGTTGCGCCACCGCGTGGAACCACTGTCGTTTTGCCATTGGCTGCGCTGACAACTAGAGACTCGCCCCCTCGCGTTTCGCGAAGGAGCTAGCGACCTCAGTAGTTTGCAAGCATGCGGCGAAGAGCGTTTCGTTTGGTTTGCGAAAGCGACGCTGTCTTTGCACTCTGCATCAAAACCGGTGACGAAGCTCGAGGGTGCTACTCTACGAGGCGTTAGTGTCGCCGGGTGCAGCTACAGGTTAGGCTCCAACTTCTGCACTTAAAAATTGGCTAATTTGTGAGAAACAGAAATAGTATTTTAAATGTAAAATTATTCATAATATTCACATATAAGAAACATTGGTGCTATCTTTTGTAACATTATGGGTCTGCTTGCGTGTCAGGCACTCACGCAGCAGTCACGCACGTTTTAAGTATCGTTGACCGCAGTTTGTGTTTTAGTTCCAGCGGGAAGGTGCTGCAGGAGAGCGCGCCACCGTAATGGTTTCCAAGTTAAATGGGAGTTCAAAGGCACTGTGCGAAAGCGTCAGTTGTGCGGCCGATTCGTGACTTCGTCTGCAGCCGTTTCCTTCGGCGTTCTCCCTAGCAAACTAAGAACACGACAGGTAAACTGCACATTTTCTGAATGGCGATCTTCTTTATAACTTTATAATAATTCATACATATATTGAGTGTGAAAGTTGTTTCGTATGCATAACATTCCGATGAAATGCCACAATGATGAAACTCGCTGCACTCACACTCCGCCTAAAGCTGCGGAGGTGGATGAATCAGGAAGTGGCGTTCGAAACAAGACAACCGTACACGTCAGCGTCCTAAATTCGAGACTAGTGATTCGTGACTAGTTGGGGTATGCGGCAAAGAATTTAGATTGTACACCTCGCTTGTACGTTTAGAGTTTGTTTTTAAATCACTATTATCAACATTGAGCAGCATTTCAGAATTTTAGTACAAGACTTCGTCATGGCGTTGAACGAACTGCATTATTGCGTGATAATTGATTCAACTGATAAACTGCGTGATAATCCAAGACGCGTTTGGGCGAAATACGTTTAGTGCCTCCCTTCCAGTTGGTCCTTGTTGAGAGATTGTTTTGATGCGGTCCTATCACCAGTCTGTGATTATTTATGCGCGGTTGCGCACACGTGTCACAAACCGTTTTTGCGTGCGTGTGTTGAGGGTGCGGGGCTCAACTCCATCCTGAGATTGCTCATGCACAAATAGTCGCGCACAGTAGAAGGGGTCTATTGCTTTGTAAACAATGTGAGCAGTGCCATATTGTAAATTGTTGTTACTATTTTTTTTAATTGTACGAGTTTGTTTTTAGTCTATATTACTTTATTGACAATGTGATGTTCCCAGTTTTGTTTAGTGTCAATGTTAAGGCCTAAGAAAGTATTTTATTGGCGTGTTTCGTGGGTACTCCTTGCCTACAAACTGAGAAACAGTACAGATATTACTGCGCTGATTTAATTCAGTACTTCAACGATTGAATGTAATTTCATATTAAAATGATCACTGACAATTGTTCCCTTAAAGTTTACAAACGTGAGATTGTATTGCTTTGTAAGTAGTGACAGGTGTTTACCACCAAATGAATACTCCTGCGCTGAATACGTGAAGTTTAGTTGAATACGAATTTCTTAAATTCAGAGCGACGTTAATTTAGTTGGTCATCTCGAATGTGACACTTGTCTATCGGTTTTTTTTCGATCTAGCCCTAATCTGGTAGTGTCGGCGAAACCCAGACTTGGCCAATTCGAATACACCAGGCCTTGCAAGGTCGCGGGCAAGGCAACGAAAACGCTCGCGGACGCTGCGTTCAGAGCAACTACCGACAGGTTTCAAAGCAAGACTTCTACAAATTATTGAAGGGCGGAGGCTCACTTGATACTAGGTCCTTGAGACTTCTGGAGATTAGTGAATTTAAGTGAAATATTAATTATTCCCATTTTCTATATTGAAGCAAAATAATTATTTATTAAATTTAATTACACCAGTCTTAATAAACTTATCAGTAGTAACAAAAATTTTACATTTTGAATCGAGAGGATCTTGATTTCGTATTCGCATTTACGTAAATCAATAATTACTTTAATGTCTTCCGTTCAGGTTAGGAACAAATGTTCTTGACTGTTAAGACTGTCTTCACGTTAGTGATACATAAGATGCAAAAGATGATAACGTGCTTAAGTAATTTATTTCACTTCGCCACTACATAAAACGAATAACAAATGAATAAAATATAACAAAAGACGAAAGCTGGCGTTAAATTTACTACTTAAACACATTCCAGCATTTTGGCCAAAATATGCACACGGCAGAATTGATAAAGAAAATAAATATTAAGTGTAATCTTGTATATAAATAAAATTGTATTTTCTGTGAATTCAAAATAAGTAACAATTTATAACGTCATAAGCTAATTTAGATTTTATAAAATGAATCAAATTATTTATATTTTTTAGCTGGGATAATCCTAGCGTGCACTGGCACAGCACGGCACGGCAGGACGAATTTTTTAAAGTTCATTTCATAGTTCCCCGTAAGGGTGCGTGCATTAGGCCCTCACGGTGGGGATGGGACGATTCGCGCTTTCCGCCGTCCGGTCCCGTCCCGTCCGGTCCCGTCCCGCGTTGCTTATCGTCCCGAGTATTGTTTTACAAGCCACAATGTCTTCTGTAATTTCTAAAGTCCTGAATAGGTTGAAAGAAAATTAGACTAAACACGATCACATTTAACTTTTGTTGTAAAATCCGACTGCAGTTTTAGTATTAGAAATGAATAAAGAACAATTTCGATCACGATGTGGTTTTATAAATAAGGATGGGTGTAATTTTAGTGATGTCAACATTTTTAATTCTCTCCTTTTTATTTTGCTCAGATAATATATCATAGCTATTATCATTATCATAAATCTTTCTATTTGTTATTGCAATCAACCTAATAAACTTTAATATTTTGTAGCACTGAAGTTCACTTCGTTGTTAAATTGTTGTGTTTCTGGAATATGTTGCTTTTTTCTTGAGCTGGAATTGAACTCTACGATATTGATGCTGAAAATAAATATAGAGTTGTTTCAATCGAAGAATCTAGTGTGTGTGTTGAACTTCCACGTATGGTATTTGAGTATTAATTGAAGAGAAGTATCACCTACGTAATGCTAATTAATAAAAGTTCTGTAAATGCTTTCGCTACAAGTTGTCATGAATTAGGGCAACTATTTGTCCATTACTAACAGTTACAAGATGGTATTTTCATTAACTATGTAGTCAATTCACTACACTTTTTGAGGTACCATTAATCAATATTTATGAATAAATTATATTACTGTAATATAATTACAGAAATAATTTTTTGTTTGAGAACAGAATCAAATCCTTCTCAAATACACAAAAATTCTGAAATAGAAGAAACATGTCCTTGATTTTTGTGGTAATTGAGCAACTTACACTTATGAAAATGAATATTTCCATATAAATGAAACTTGGGAATTGAGACAAATTTTCTAACATGAAAAACAAGATTTAAATTATTGTGGAATTTAATTTTCACTTTGCCATTTGAATTAGATAATACTTGTGACAAAATAGAAGCTTGTTACAGAAATACGAAAAAATCTATATATTCAGTTTACATTTATTTTAGGGTACTTATTAAATAAAACGATCACTTCGTACTTGAATATACGCACATCATCAAATTTAGCGCGGTTTCTTGGGCTTCGTTCAGTAGCCAACCCGAATTACCCGGAGCCAAATGAACGAGTAGTTTTTTTTTTATTTTCCGCGCTCTAGTATGCCTGGAGAGGCGGGGATTTATTCTGTTAAAGGGGGCACATTTAAGCTACAGCTGACTGAGCTTATACAGCTGGGTTAGGGCCCATATTAAAAATACTAAATAAAACTATCTTATAAACTAACCATAACTATCTAGTAAAGAAAGCTTGTTCTTAGTTTGATTTATTATCTTTTTTTATTTTCTCATTCACACTCGAATTTATACTTAATCTACAGGATCTCTTGGAGCTCCCGTTACAAAACAATACCCTAGATTCTACGTTGGCATTAATGAAGAATGGCACACCGAAAAAAAGAGCCGTTGGAGTATACCAGATGCATGATATTGTAACAAGGTTCCTTGTTACAGTATCGTGGATATGGTATAATCCAACGGTTCTTTTTTCGTAGATCCAGTTTTTTCGAAAAAAATTGTCTTCAAGAAAGCTGGGTTTAAATGTTTCGTCCAGGCGCAAATCAAACAGGCTGCCGCGTCACAGCAGACGTCCAGTGCTGCTGGGGGGCCGCGAATAGGGATGTTTCATGACGATCACATACATTTCAAGTAATATTGCCTTTTATTATATTGGAAATGCTTGTTATCGATATATGGCAATGTGAAATATGAAACTACAACGAATTATTAACTGATGATTATTTGGACACCAAATACTATAATTGCTATAGGTCTGATAACGTAATTCGTTTTGCTACGATGTAATCACAAATATAGTGTTTTGATAAACAAAAAATTGTGATACCGAGTTATTTTTATTTGATGCCAACAATAAACTATTTTTTCATTAACTCTGTTTAATTGAATATGACTGTTCTTTCAAAGCTAAAAAATATTATTATTAAAGAATCATGATTACTTTCTGCTCTAATTTATGAAAAGAGTATATTAATATCAAGTCAACGAATAGTATTTATTCATCATTTACATCGTATAAATATATTAAGCACATTGCATTCCATTTAACAAGACCCTAACACCAATTTCATGAATGCCCCTAACACAAAATCAGAGGTTTGATCGTTGATATCTTTTATTCAGATTAATAATTGTGGGAAATGATCACAAATATATTTGCTGCTAAACATAACCCTTTTTGCAATTGCATATATTCCATTTTTATGTCAATCTTGATGTGAGAGATTGCTCTCATAATTTTCTTCATTTGGAGATTATAACATTCCCAGTTAGCAATCAATTATTAAATTATAAACTTGTATTAGTTTAAATTAAGTGATAAAGTTCTAAAAAGGCCACTGCTTTCAAATATTGCTTAAGAGTCACAATGAGCATTCACTATATATATATATATATATATATATATATATATATATATATAT